AGGTACAACTTCCTTAAGTTTTGTCCATGAGTGTATCTTTCAGAGTTATTGTCTGAATCCCGATATACATGGTGAAAGGTGAAACTTCCTTAAGTTTTGTCCATGAGTGTATCTTTCAGAGTTATTGTCTGAATCCCGATATACATGCTAAAAGGTACAACTTCCTTAAGTTTTGTGCATGAGTGTATCTTTCAGAGTTATTGTCGGAATCCCGATATACATGCTAAAAGGTACAACTTCCTTAAGTTTTGTCCATGAGAATATATACAAAAATGTGAATCTATTAGTGTTTATACCAAAAATAAGAAATTTGAATAGAATAAAATAATATAAAATATAAATATATATTTTAGTTAATACGCACACAATATTGTATGGTCAAATTTATTTAAGAAGAACCCTGATACTAAGCCAGGTTATTATTCTTGTTCTAAATAAAAAAAAGAGTAGCATAATTTACAGAAGAAACTATTCGTATTTTCCTTATAATTAAATATTTGATAATTTAATTTGAATTCTCGAGATATCATTCAACCAGCACGTAACATCCACTATACACGTATATTTTCAAAAAGTTGTTTATCACACACAAAGAATGTAATATTTCTCTCCCTCAATATCATAAGTATTTAAAATATGTACATAATAATTTATACATAAAAATAGTATTTATTATTAATTTATTATCAGGGAACAGGCTAAATCAATGTGTAGTTGATGGCGCTCTGCCTTCTGAAAAGCACATGTTCTCCTAGTCAGGTTATGCCTTTTTTATTTATAAACGTGATACTCCTGGTGAATGACTGACAAATCTGAAAACTTTAAAATAAAAAGTTGTAAAAGAAACTCAGCCCTGGAAACTTTATATATTTTATACATTATTCAAGTCTATGTGAACCCAGTTCAGCTAATTAGAATAATGTCAGAGAAAAAAGTAACAGACATTCACCGAAACATCGAGAATTCAATAAATTATTGATTGATGTAACTATGCAATGAAATAAGCTTCTAAGACAACAGAATAATTTTATCGTAAAGATAGAAGCTGCCTGGCCGGCATTCATAGCTCTTCAAATTAAAGATACTGCAAAACTGAAAGCATAGAAGAAATGACCCATTGCATCTCTGAATGCACTATTGTTAACGAGGAACGGAATAAGATCTTAAAGAACATTATTCAAGTCTACGTGAACCCAGTTCAGCTAATCAGAATAATGTCCGAGAAAAAATATATAGCGATAGAATTGTTTAACTTTCATAAAGCGTTAGAGAACAAGGTAATCTCTAAGAACTAAAATTACAGAACAATTTCCTTCCATAGTTAATTTGTAAAGTTATGTTGAATACTTTGATTTCCTTTTCATTTTCCTTTCTCTCCTTTGTTTATGTTTATTTTTCTTCTTTTCTCCATGAAAATGATGTATGGCGAGTCCTTACAGGACGGAAATATCCTAATAAAGCAGTTGTTGTATATATTTTATAATAATCAAATATTGTTTTGTAGAGAACAACTTTTTGATTACCATGACTATAATACAATATAATATAATATAATGCGGCTTGTTATTGTAAAACGACATTTGAAATACTATCCCGCATGTGTTTCTTTTCAACGAAAAATCAAAATTAATTTCAACGAGAAATAACGATTATCTCTAACCTTTTGGATGAGGTATGAAAGGGTGAATTGTGAAGAGTAATGATAAACGGAAAAATAAAAGTGTTCAGAGATGGGAATCGAACCCACAGTGTTCCGCTTACCGGGCAGATGCCATGTCCACTAGGCTACCCTGGACATATTTTTCTTTTTATTTTTCCGTTTATCAATACCCTTCACAATTCACCCTTTCATACCTCATCCAAAAGGTTAGAAATAATCGTTATTTCTCCTTGAAATAAATTTTGATTATTCGTTGAAAAGAAACACATGCGGGATAGTATTTCAAATGTCGTTTTACCATGACTATATTGCGATAAAAGAACAAAAAGGAGCTTCTTGTGTAGAACATTCCGCTAGCTTTCGAACGGCATCGTTCTTCAATGGACGTGAAGAAAAAGCATGACAATATGTAGAAGTACAATGAGAGATAAGTGATGTTCAAATATGTAACTAATACGATGGCAGATAGAATTACGAAGTGAGAATCAGTTATGTCAATCTATATATTTGGGGGTAAGAAAACAATCTTAGAATGATATTGAGAAAATAAGCAAATAGGGTACGACTGTGACAAAAGTTACTACTTTTGCGGGCTATCACACAAAAAGCAATAAACTAGGGTTTACCGTAAGAGTAACTTAATACACCGAACAACGTACACTCAAAAGTACAACACTAACAAAAAAAAAGGAGATTAAAACAACTCACGATTTTTTAAATAAAATAAAACAGTACTTATCTTTATTGTAGCGTTGGTAGAGATCGGACTCAGGTCACCGAGATGCGAAGAGATCCCCAGACACGGAAAAACCACGTAGAAAAACACTTTAAGTGTCTCCACACCAATTTTCAACGTTCTGGACTCCCTCGCATTCTCTTAGTCCCCTCTTATATACAGACATGGCCACATTCGTCCAATGAGAAGACGTGAGAGATTGGTTCACTAACAAACGAAGACAACATTCTTCCCGCTAAAAACTGATCAGAAAAAAAAACTGAAAATGTTTGTCAATATAATTTGACAACTGAAATAGAATACTGTAATATCTGACTTCTACATTAAATTGTTCTTTTATATTAATGCAATATAAATATTGTTTTAAGTAATTATATGAAGCCATCATTTTTTGTCAAATATTCCTTCCTAGTTTTTTTTATTAGCTCGTTCATCACCCGTCGTCATAAAAACATGATTGCAGCTTTTTATGGGATCCCGTTCTGGCAAAAAAAGAAAAAAACGATGCATCCGTCAAAGAAGAGACGACAACGCGACACCTCTCGTGACATGAATACAGATGACTAGAAGTATTCCTTCGTCAATTTGCATATCGAGTGTCATCAGTCAAAGTTTCCCTGATTATGTAAAAAGGGGGTTTCAATATATTCAAATAAATGCATAATAAATGATGAAAAACTCACTTTTTGTGTTCAGGTTGACACTGAACGTGTTACGCGTTTATAAAATATCAAATTCATTCATAATTTAGCTATGAGTAAGTACAGTAGAACTACCTCCCTGTAAAGGACACCTAATTGCAGAGCCAAAGTGTTCTTTAGGAAGAGGTGTCCTCTTACTGGAGAATTGCTAAATAGTAAATATGGTAATTTTGCAAATGAAAATTGTCCCTTGTAGAGAGTTGTCTTCTCATCTGTGTTGTGTGTGTATTGAAGGTTCTACTGTATTAACAAAATAAATTTATAGACAAAACTTGGACGAATATTGTCGGTCGTCTATTTTTTTTTTTTTTTTTTAAGAAGACAAATATAATTTTGTTCACATTTGGTTATCTCATGTGTCTTCAATAAAGGTCACTATCTTTCAAATAGCATGTATATCAGGATTCAGTCAATAACTCTGAAAGATATTACAGTGAACTTTATTGAAGATACACGAGATAACCAAGTGTGAACAAAATTACTTCTGTCTCCTTAAAAACTATATAGACGACCGGCGACATAAACGATTTTTTACACATATTCAAGGATTATATTCACGCACGTGTTTCTTTTATTTATTGAAACTAAACAATTCCCTCTACTGTGCCTAAAAGATATTTGATCCAAAATGAGAATATAAAAATAACTAAATAAGATGTTATTTTTAATGATATTCATATTATAGTAAAGCTCTCATGAGCGATTAATTTGGTAAAATAAAAATAAACTTGTTCAAACCTAATCCAACCTTCCATAAATGATCATCTTCAATGAAGACCATATGTTTGCGCCTAGTAATGTAAATAACTTGCTAGGCTGCATTGTTCTATAATCATGTAAATATGTATATATATGTTATATTAAAATATTATTTATTTAAAATTATATTCCATAAATACAAATACTCTGTTAAATTGACCGCCAGAGGTCATTCTTCCCCTATAAAAACTCATTGTTGTTGTTCCCCGTTGGCTGGCTCAAATCTTTTGTACATTATGTAAATAAGTTTCTCATTTTTTTTATTCTTACGCCTTAAGCCAGGCAATACTTTTACCAAATTATGTTTTTATATATCTCTCTCATAAGCTCTCACAATTAAAGCAATTTCTAATCTTTACTATTTTTATTATTTTACTTTCAAAATTCTTGCCACGACTGCAACACCAATACCATTTAGTATTAAAAAGAACCAGCAAATAACTCCATGGCATAAACCTCAACATAATCTAAATTCAAGCAGAAAATCTCTATTCCTTTTTATATTATAACATATATATATGAAGAGTGAAAGATATAGTAAAATCAGTCAGTCAGTTAAAAGGAGTGAGGCGTCCTTACTCTATTCAAACAGCTTGCTACATCGCAGCTAGAGAAGGGACAACATTCTCAGTAGTCAATCCGCAGGTCTGGTCTCGTAAAGTACAGTCATCAACAAGCTCTGCCACATATCGTCATCACCTGAGACCAGACTAGAGGCTGAAGGAGCTAAAGGAAGTCCTGGCTAACATTGTCAGGAAACAATCTCCAACACCATGTCTTAGGGATGGTCTCTCGCTGGAGATCCAAATATATTTATTAATATCCGATTAAAATTTGCATAGTTTCAATAAAAACATGAGGGATATCCGAAAGTTTTTGAAGAAAAAAATATCAATTAAGATGATATATTCACCAAATCTCTGAAGCTACCTCATCACTTATGTCTAAAAATTAATTTACAAGCTTTTTAGCAATGTTTGATATCACGCGTTAAATCCTGTAATTGAATATTTTTTTTAACTTGAAAGTTCAACACGTTGACAGAATTGGCAATAAAAATGCAGATTTTGTTGTTAATCTTTATACTTATCATGTTCTTATCACTTTAATGATGCTCTTGAATTCCTGGCAACACACATACGGTGTCCAGGGTAGTCTAGTGGACATTGCATCTTCCCGGTGAGCAGAAAATTGTGGGTTTGATTCCCATCCCTAGACACTTTATTTTTCCGTTTATCATTACTATTCACAATTCATCCTATCATACTTCATCTCTAAGGATGGAAATAATCGTTATTTCTCCTTAAAATAAATCACGATTTTTCATTCATACCTACAGGTATATAAATCTACAACATATCTGATAAAAACACGTGTTGAATTCCTTAAATTTTTCACATTTTCAAAGTTTTTTGGAATATCTATAGATCTGTACTACTACACTTATGGACAAACTCAAGGAAGTTTTAACTTTAATTAAAATAAATAACAGGTTTCTGTTGATACATTTCTTTTCATTGTTATTAATACTATCTCAAGGTTTCGAACATTTCTGCTCTTTAACAGAAGTACATAAACGAATAATAATAAGTTAGTTATCTAATGGCGTTTATTATTATTGTTTTTATGTACTCCTGTAGAAAGGCAGAGATTCCCGAAAGCTTGAGATTACATTAATAAAAAGGAAAATAAATTTATCTCTATAAACCTGTTGTATTATTTTAATTAAAGGTAAAACTTCCTTGAGTTTGTCCATGAGTGTAGTAGTACAGATCTATAGATTTTTCAGAAAAAAATGAAAAATTTAAGGAATTCAATACAAGTTTTATCAGATATGTAATGCCAATTCATCTACCCGTAGGTATGAACGAAAAATCTTTATTTATTTTAAGGAGAAATAACGATTATTTCCATCCTTAGAGATGGAGTATGATAGGTTGAATTGTGAAGAGTAATGATAAACGGAAAATAAAGTGTCCAGGGATGTGAATCGAACCCACAGTTTTCTGCTTACCGGGCAGATGCCATGTCCACTAGACTACCCTGGACACCGTAGATGTGTTGCCAGGAATTCATGAGCATCATTAAAGTGATAAGAACATGATAAGTATAAAGATTAACAACAAAATCTGCATTTCTATTGCCAATTCTGTCAACGTATGGAACATTCAAGTTAAAAAAATATTCAATTACATGATTTAACGTGTGATATTAAACATTGCTAAAAATTTGTAAACTAATTTTTAGACATAAGTGATGAGGTAGCTCCACAAATTTAAGGAATATATACCATCTTAATTGAATTTTTTTTTCAAAACCTTTCGGATATTGCTCATTTTTTTAGAACTATGCAAATTTTAATCATATATTACTAAATATATTTTGACCTCCAGTGAGAGACCATCCCTAAGACATGGTCTCCACTGAAGATGACCGTTTATATGAAGTTGGATTAGTTTAGACACACGAGATAACAAAGTGTGAACAAAATGACTTAAGTGTTGTCCATGAGTGTATATGTCACAGATGACGTCACCAAGGACGACCCGCCCAGCCTTAGACACTGGCGAATGTTCACAAAGGTGTGCCGGACATCCACTGACCACTGTCCAGTTCGACCACTTCCTCTTTGTACTGCTGGACGGCGGCACGCGCGACCTTGGAACGTCCCCGAGTCACGCGACTGTTCTTTGTCAACTCTACCTACATCTCACCTCTTCTTTTATCACAGAGTTGTGAGGAGGAGGATTCAGGAGGAATCGACCAAAATGACCATATGCCTATTTACGTGACAAATCACAGATGTGTCAAATCACAAATTACATATGTCTTAAATCACAAATTACATATGTCTTAAATCACAAATCACAGATGTGTCAAATCAAAGATGTGTTAAATTACAGATGGGTCAAATCACGGATGTGTCAAATTACAAATGTGTCAAATTACAGATGTGTCAAAATACAGATGTGTCAAAATACAGATGTGCCAAATCACAGATGGGTCAAATCACAAATCACGGATGTGTCAAATTACAGATGTGTCCAATCACAGATGTGCCAAATCACAGATGGGTCAAATCACAAATCACGGATGTGTCAAATTACAAATGTGTCAAAATACAGATGTTTCAAAATACAGATGTGTCAAAATACAGATGTTATAAATCACAGATGGGTCAAATCACAAATCACGGATGTGTCAAATTACATATGTGTCAAATCACAGATGTGCCAAATCACAGATGGGTCAAATCACAAATCACGGATGTGTCAAATTACATATGTGTCAAATCACAGATGTGCCAAATCACAGATGGGTCAAATCACAAATCACGAATGGGTCAAATTACAAAACACATATGTGTCAAATCACAAATCATAGATAGGTCAAATCACAAATTACAATGTCAATCACAACTTACAAGCTTTTCTTTGATTCGTTAAACGGTGAGAGCTTTGCCTCTACTTGTCCTCCCAGATATACGAGCTCAGTAAAAGAAATTGAAAATATCAAAAATAGGATGATTAGAAAAGCCACTCCTTGGTTGTTGTCTCTCCACTTATACTGTATACAATCACGGACAAAACTTAAGAAAGTTGAAATTCTATTATTAGCAACGGTTGTCTTTTTTTTTTTTTTTATGGAGACAAAGGCAATTTTTTGTTTACACTTGGTTATTTCTAAATACTTATGTCTAAACGATATTCTCATGAACAGAGTTCTAAGACCGTTATATATGCTTAATGAGACTCATCGAAGACGATTGATCCATAGCCATTAATGTGTTGGTAAGAAATTGACTCAGCCTAATTGGTCCATTCATTGAAGATTTTCGTGAGAGAAGTCTGTCGATGGTTTCCTCTTTTCTTCTTCATTCATATTTTGTTGATCTACTAGTACGTTCATCCCCTTTTAGAATTCGTTTTCAACTTCAAGGTCAATTGAGAGCGCGCCTCACTATCAGGTAGCAGTTTTAGAGTTTCCCCGATCACAAGATATCAAAGATGTTGTTAGGAAGTTTTGCCAAGGTGTTGACAGAAGTCGTTGGGCTAGAGAACAGCTCCCACTAGACATTATGCAGCAAGGGAGATGATTATAGATGCAAATTTGTTGGAATGGAAATTACTGGTCCGGTTACGAGTTATGAATATTAGATGACAATGTATTAAATGTGCATTTTATTATTAAAATATACTAATTATCTGATAACCTATCCCCTGATTTTCTACTAATATAATCATGCAATCTAGATAATAGTTATCATTTGGTGTAACCAATATATCTTTTATATCATTTAAAACTGAGAATAGATTTAATTTGCATATATTTATGCTCCATGATACTCTGGAACTAGGGAAGAAGTACGCAGCGCAAGTTTTCACATTTACATTATCTATACAAAGAATAGGTTTTTGTCGTGTCCAATGAAGAGCCTCAGATGTCTCCATACATCTCTATCACAGCAGCAGCAATGTCCTCTATCTTGGGTGTGTAAAGCTGCTGTTCTGGGTCTATGTCAATTTTATGTTGTCGTGTCCAATGAACAGATATCTCCATACATCTCTATCACAGCAATGTTCTCTATCTTGGGTGTGTAAAGCTCCTGCTCTAGGTTCATGTCAATTTTATGTTGTTGTGTCCAATGAAGAGCCTCAGATGTCTCCATACATCTCTATCACAGCAATCACAATGTCCTCTATCTTGGGTGTGTAAAGCTGCTGTTCTGGGTCCATCTAAGAATAGGTACACCATTTATTTAAAATTAGAGAGATTTCACATTACGAAATCAAAATAACCCATCAGGACTGCTTTTAGAATTCTGAACTGTATATTGGATCATTTTGTTTATAAATGAGACGCTGAAAGACGGTATGGTTAAAGTAAAGGAGTTCATACTTAAGACGTGTTTATATCAATAAACGCTTAAACTATAAATACACATTTTTAATACTTCTTAACAGTCAAATAAACTCCCAGCATGTGAAAATAACAGCAGTTAAATAAACTGCCGGAATATGCAAATATTAGCAGCTTAATTAACTCCCCAGCATATGCAAATACATGTAGTTTAAGAAATCCCAGAGCATGTGCAAATATCATAACTTTATAATAAACTCCAGCATATGCAAATACATATAGTTTAAGAAATCCCAGAGCATGTGCAAATATCAGAACTTTATAATAAACTCCAGCATATGCAAATACATATAGTTTAAGAAATCCCAGAGCATGTGCAAATATCAGAACTTTATAATAACCTCCAGCATATGCAAATACATATACTTTAAGAAATCCCAGAGCATGTGCAAATATCAGAACTTTATAATGAATTCCAGCATATGCAAATATTTGAAGTAAACGAAAAAATTGCGCTACAAATTTTAAAATAAAACTACAACCTTTCGCAATAAGTTTCTTTTATTATGATATGCGCGAGCTTTCGGGCTGGAGCCGCCCTTCTACTATGTTTCATTTTTTGCCTGTAGAAGGGCGGCTCCAGCCCGAAAGCTCGCGCATATCATAATAAAATAAACTTATTGCGAAAGGTTGTAGTTTTATTTTAAAATATGCAAATATCAGAACTTTATAATAAACTCCCAGTATAGGTAAATATGAGTAGTTAGTGAACTTTCAGAATGTACTAATATTAATAAAATGCTTATTACACGATATGTGCAAATATCATCAGTGTTTTTAACACACTCGGCATGTGCGAATATCTCCAATAACATTGAAAAACTCAAATACAATCGCAAAAGCAAAACTTATTACAAAACCCAAAAGACCCCAGCCCATATGCAACCTCAATATTAACAGAGAATTAACGGCAACAATTTCAAGAATCAGAACAGGACATTTTAAAGGAATGAAGATAAACCCAGACATGAATAGATCATACAGGAACTACAATAACTGTTACAACACCCAACTCACTCCGGACCATATATACCCGGCCATCCTTGCAGCCCTCTATATGGCAGACATCAATCCAGAAGAGGACATCCATACACCACCACCTCAGTTGGCCGGTATTGTGATCAGGGTGCGTGGACCGATCTGATCTGCTCCATGGACAAGACACCACCACCACCTCAGTTGGCCGGTATTGTGATCAGGTTGCATGGACCGATCTGATCTGCTCCATGGACAAGACACCACTACCACCTCAGTTGGCCGGTATTGTGATCAGGGTGCACGGACCTATCTGATCTGATC